GAAAGCCACAGAGGAGAAATTTGCCTAGGATTATCTTCAGAGGAAATATAAGTTCAGTTGGACGCCCGGAGCAAGGAGCCTCTGAGACAGTGAATCATAAAAAACCACCCCAAAAGAAAAACTTTAATTCTATAGGCAGACTTTGCCTGCATTAAGTAGTGGAAACCCCATTTCCGATCCCTTGAGACCAAGGGTTACTTGAAAAAGCCATCACAGCACTGACTGCAATGGTGGCCACCAGAGTAAACCCCCCCACTTTCAATTGCAATCTTTATTTACTTTCTCTTAAAAGACGTAGAGAATAGCGTAAGACAAGAAAAATTAGCCATGATAGTACAAAGGCTTGAGAGACGAAAGACAGAGAAAGTAAGAACAGAAAGTGCTTAACTGCGAACCTAGGGTATGTAATGGAATGGAGGATCTGGTGATTAAGAAGCCGGCTCACTGTCATGGAGCTGGGCATGGAATGGGAGTGTCCAGTTTATGTGTAGATTCATAAAGATCTACTTTTACCTTACTAAACAGAAAGGAGGAATAAGATTAGTTGAAAGATACTGGATTGTAGAAAAAAATGCTGAATTAGATCAACCTGTACACTTTAAAGATGCTTCAACATCAGAATGGAAATCAGGAAATGTGTTACATTGGGAAAGAGGTTTTGCTTTTATTTCCACAGATGATGAAAGACTGGGTTCCATCAAAATTGATAAAGATCTGATCTGAGTAAGAGAAGCTTCACTTGAAAGGTACAACTAAAGGACGGGATGCAGAAAGTGTATTCCCTCTTTCATGGAAACAGCAGAAGACAGACATTATACGTCAGACTGACAGACTGGAAAACTTTGATGCTGAAATGGACATTTTCTAATCAGAAATGCAGTTATGAAGGATCATCACACCAATGGATCCTTATAAGAACATTGAGACTGTTAAGTTTACAGGATTGATAATTGTTTCATTTGTAAAACTTAAACTGGCTGCTCTTCCAAAGGACCCAGGTTCAAATATCAGCATCCACATGGCAGTTCCTAACTGTCTGTAATTCCAGTTCCAGAGGATGTGACACCCTTACACAGGCATACATGGAGCCAGGACACTAATGTAAATAAAATAAAATTTTAAAAAGGTTTCAAGTTTTCCAATTAAAATTTTAAAAAGAGGGACAAATATAAAGTACTTAATTTATCTTTCACATACTAATTTCACATACTAATATGGATAATTTATTATCTAATGTTAACCTTTGAAAGACACACCCACTAACTCAGAAGTATCTAAGGCAATTGTGCTGAAATTAAGGGTAATCTGAAATTACTTGGGAGATTCCAACATTGGATGTTTCCAGGTTCTACCCAGTACAGGTCTGGCAAAACATATTTAAAAAAAAAACTACTCTAAGTACAATGATAACCAAGAATTCAACACCATACTCTTTGGTGTAAGTGAAGAGCCTGGCACAAAGTCCATAGTAAATGCTTATAAAATAAACAGGAATCTTTCTTAAGGGATAAAAACATAGAGTACTGTGAAGTACTTCCCTAGAAGGTAAGGGTTCAATCTCCAAAACCACAAGAAAGATACACACATGCATAAATACACATACATACATACACATATACAAATGCTGTTGTGGTTGATCTGGAGCTAATATGTATTTAAGTGTTAATTGCTTGCCCCCTTCCCCAAGATCCTTACTACCCTACAAGCAGATGCTCTCATACACAAAATGATGTTGTGTGGACCTTGCCTCCCAAATTATCCCTGATTGACTAATAAGGTTGCCCACAGCCTGGCCTGGTCAGAAGAGAAATAGGCAGCGCTAATGGTCCAGAGCTCTGGGGTCACAGGAGGAGCATGAGGGGAGAGGAAGAAAGGAACAGGTTGCCAAGGGGTAACCAAGAGCATGAGGCCAAGAACATGTGGACCGAGGACTGGCCTGACAGAGTAGAAGCAGCCCACATAGGAATGATTAAGGCAAGTAGCATGGGACGTGTGGCTACAAGATAGTAAAGTAGCTTAGGGAGTTGATCTCTGTCCAGCCCTAATGTTTTAAATCTAACGAGTTTCATGTCTTTTATTTATAAAATAGCAGGTTGAAGAAAACTGCCACTGTATTAATAACCAACATTAATTAATACTAATAGAATTCAATTAACACATATACATGCAAACAAATATACATAAACACATACATACATACTTATTTCAGTTACAGAGAGTAGATGGAAAACTACTTTTTATTAACTCAGAAATTAAAAAAGAAAACTTTAAACAAATTATTAGAAGCCAAACACAGATATCCCAGTTTCAAGGAAAATATCTAGCACTAAATATCCTCTTTTTATGAAAAATAATTCATGAAGTAAACCTTCCTAGGTGTAGTATTAAATAAACTTTCAGTCACCTTTGGAACTCCTGTCATTTCCACTATTAAAATGGGGGCTATAGAAATGGCTCAATCAGTATAGTGTTCTTTTGTGTGTGTATGTGTGTGTGTGCACGCGCACACGCACATTTAGAGACAGGGTTTCCCTGTGTGGCCTCAGCTGTCCTCGAACTCACTCTGTAGACCAGGCTGGCCTTAAACACAGAGATCCGCCAGCCTTTACCTCCCCAGTGCTGGGATTAAAGTCCTGCTCCACCACGGCCTGGCCAGCGCTTGTTCTGCAAGCATGAGGAGCTAAATTCCACCCCAGTGTCCGCAGAAAAGCCAGGTGTGGTGCTTTGCACCTGTGAGACCAGTGCTGGAGTGGGTTGGCCAGTCAGTCTATCAGAATCAGCTAATTCCAGATTCATGAAAGATCTTACTTCAAAAAAATATAATGGCAAGGGACTAACAAGAATACTCAATGTTGAGGAGAGCCGGGGAGAGGGTACTGGGAGAGAGAAAAGAAATCAGTGGAGGCACATCTCTGGGACAGAGGAGGCTCCTGGGAGTCTTTGGGGATGACTCTTAGCTGAGACTCCTAGCAACTGGGGTTAAGGATCCTGAAATCACCACTTCCTATAGCCAGGTGGGACTTTCAGTGGAGGAAGGAGAACACTAACCCACCCATTAAATCTTCGACCCAAAATGTGTCTTGCCTACAGGAAGTGTAGGGATTAAGTTGGAGAAGAGATTGAGGGAATGTCAATCAGGAACTGGCCCAAGCTGAGAGCCACCCCATGGGACCCACAGCCAAACAATAGGCCAAGTTGGGGAAGAGTGGGAGGAAAGACAGAGGAAGCTGGAGGTGTCAAGAACACCACAAGATGACCTACAGAGTAAACTAACCTGGGCCCATGGGGGCTCACAGAGACTGAACCACCATCCAAAGAGCACGCATTGGCTTGACATAGGCCCTTGCACATATGTAGCAGATGTGCTGCCTGTTCTTCATGCTGGTCCCCTAACAATGGGAGTAGGGGCTGTCTCTGTCTCTATCGCCTGCCTCTGGATCCCTTTCCCCTCATCAGGCCTCAGTGAGAGAGAACGCACTTAGTGCCAGAGTTGGTAACCCTAGGGGCCTCCCCCTTATGAGAGAGGGGGAAGGAAGGGAGTGTGAGGGCAAGCCTGGAAGGAGAGGAGGGAGGGGACTGGGGTCAGGCTGCAAAGTGATTGAATAAAAAATAAATTAATTAAAAAAAAAGAATACCCAATGTCAACCTTTGGCCTCCATATGCACACATACACATGTGTGGGTAACCCCCCAACACAAATGCATGTGCACCCCTTCACACACAGAGATGCATACACCACACACACACACACACACACACACACACAGAGAGAGAGAGAGAGAGAGAGAGAGAGAGAGAGAGAGAGAGAGAGGAATGAGAGTCAGGCATGGTAGCTCATGCTTGCAATCCCAGCACTGAAGCGGCAGAGGCAGGGTCCCACCCTGGTATCAGGATCTTGGTAACTGTAAGCCAGAATAAAGCTTCCCTTCCTTAAACTTCATGTGTCAGGTATTTGCCCCAGCAAGGAGTGAAGTCCTAATACATGCATTGTCTCACCGCTCTTTGAAAACAAACATTCCCTGCAATGAGGAACCTCTGGGTCTGCTAATACCCCACTCACAGTTCATTAGGCAAAATAGTGCCATGACAGTCTTAGGCTGACCATCTAGGATAAAAAAAACCTCCTGCACTGCATGTGGAAGAGATCTGTCTTTCAGGAGTCTAAAGCCAGTCCCCCAACCCCCAAGGAAAAATACCCTAATAAAAACCCAGACTGCAGAAACCTCCATTCAGTGCTCTAGCCCATTGGGTATTCGTGCCTGGGCAATACACCTTTGCTGTGTTCAAGTTTTTCTAATAAACCTGTTTTTGCTTAAAAATTAAAAAGAGAGAGAGAGGCAAAAAGACTGCCCCAAATTCAAGGCCAGCCTGAACTATGTCATGAGTCCTAGACAAGACTGTACTACAAAATAAAGCCCCATTTTGCAACACAAACATCAACATGTACCTCTCTTCCATTCCTTAAGACTTTGTAAGTAGGTACCCCTGGCTGGCTGGCTTAATCAAGCCAAGTCGGAATCTCCTACTTCTCCCAATAGTATTCACACTAAGTAGAAACAACTCTTAGACTATCTATATACACATATGTACGTGTACTCACACATAAAACATCAGAGAGTCTTTAATGCTGTATATCTCAAATTATACTGTACTGGTATTTTCTTCATAAATATTAAAATGAACCCTGACACAAAATAGATATAAAAATGATAATTATTATATCCTATTTGTAACCTCTGTTCCTTTTACTTCCTATTTTCCACTGAAAAACAAAGCTGGAAGAAGAGCAAAAAGGAAAATATTTTAAATTCCCCCTCCTAAAACAAATGACCTTCATCAAATTTACAACTAAGGAACTGAATGACTGCTTTAAAAAGGTATAACTGAACAAAGGAAGAGAACCAAAATATTAATGGACAAAAACCCCTTATAATTAGTAATTTGCCACAGATAGCAGCTCCAGCTTTTGATGGGTATATGTTCAAACGACATTGACACACCTGTAATACTGGGTCCTCACTAACAGCCAGCAATGCCTCATCTTTACTCTTTTGTTCTTTGTAGTCCTTTCTCTGTTTGGACCCAAGATGAATCTCAGGAGAAGGCATGCCTACAATGAAGTATAATAGTCAATATCTTGCAATAGTTTTAATTCCTTAGTTGAATTCAAGAATTTTATAAATACTGTAAAATGTCACTAAAAATCACCTGATGGGCAATACTAACATATATTATTAAATAGTAGCACACATGTTTAGCATAGGTGAGGCTTGGGTTCAAATCCTAGCACAGTGCAAAATATTTGTACATCACAGTTTCTTTTTTAAATAATTAATTTCATTTTCCGTGCTTTACCATGAGGGTGTCAGAACTCTTGGAAATGGAGTTGTGACAGTTGTGATCTGCCATGTGGGTGCTGACTATTGAACCCAGGCCCTGTTAAAGAGCAGATACTCAGCTTAACCACTGAGCCATCTGTCCAGCCCCACACTACAGTTTCTGTCACTTTTATATGTCAATATTTTAAAATTATTACTTAGTTCAGGGTCATACTGCATTGAACAAAACAATGCTTAATATTTCTTGGCCTTGGGATGAAGGAATGCAATGAGTATGTACAGAAAATTTTATACACTGCCCCTAGGGAGATGTCTTAGTGCGTAAAGTGCTTGCTGTCATTTCTAAAAGCAGCTCTAGCTAAGACACACCTTGTCATGCAACATAAGAAATTGCTTCAGAAGTAACTGTGTGGTTCCTTCCAAATACAGCAAGAACTTAAGACACTAATGTAGTAATGGCACAGATGGGTGAAGCAGAGGAAAACAGATATTTACATGGAAACTTACATTTATATGCACAGAAATTTAATAAGCCATGGCACAGCGGGGATAACTGCATCCTGCCACGCCTAACCAATTCAGTTAAACCCTAGGACACTAGGACACACATAGGTGAAGAAGAGACTCAACTCCCACAAGTTGATTCTCTCTGACCTACACACACAGACTGTGGCATATGCTTCCCACGTACACAGAATATGTCACTTTATAAATTCCTGGTTAAGTTTATAGTTTAACATATCATAACTATAGTGTTTTAAACAGAACAAAATGGAATACCCAATTAATCATATTGAGACCATTAGTTTCTTACTTGAAAAAATAAAATTAGATCTTTTCCCATACACCAAAATATTGTAAATATGTTAAGAACAGAAGCATTACAACAACTAGAGATAGAGCTCAGCCAGTACAGCACTTACTTTCCCCACAAGCACAAGGACATGAGTTGAGCACATGTAAAACTGCTGAGCGTAAAGGCACATGTTTATGATCCCAGCACCGGGGATGTAGAGACAAGATGATCTCTGGGGCTTACTGGCGACAGTTTAGCTTAATTAGTGAGATCCAGGCCAAGGAGAGACTCTCTGAAATGCAGATAGCATTTCGAAGAATGAGACCCAAGCTTGCCTTCTAATCTATATGGGCACATGTGTACACACACACACATACACACAAACAAACAAATAAATACTTAAAAACTAGACCAGAGCCACACTCTGAACCTCTGTAAAAAATCACTTTAAAAAATGGATTAAATACATTAGTAGGACCTAAAATTTTTAATTTTCTAAAAGAAAATACTTCAAGATACAGGCATAAGAAACAATTTTGGGGGGCTGGAGGGATGGCCCCGCAGTGAAGAGCACTGGCTGCTCTTTCAGAGGACCTGGGTTCAATTCTCAGTCTCCACATGGCAGCTCACAAGTGTCTGTAACTCCTGTTCCAGGGGATCTGGCACCTTCACATAGATACACATGAAGGCAAAATGCCAATGTACATAAAACACAAATAAATTATTTAAAAATGATTTTTCTAGAAAGAACTCCAATAGCACAAAAAAATTTTTTTTTTCAAAAAGTCAAGTGAGATTACATGAAACCAAAAAACTTCTGCACATCAAAAGAAAAATGGCCACAGTGAAAAGCTACTTACACACTGGGAAAACACCTTTGCCACATATCAGTTATGCATTTAATATCTAAAGTACATAAAAAACTTCACAAATTAAACTCCAATCTAATAAAAAAATATGCTGCTGGGTGTGGTGGCGCACACCTTTAATGCCAGTCCTCATGAGGCAGATTTCTGTTCCAAGAAAGCCAGAACTACACAACTGATCAACCACCTGACAAGTTAGGGAAACAGGAAACATGGCTTTCAACACTCAGTTAACAAGACTAGATTCTCATACCAAGAAACATTACCAATGACCTAACAGTCACAATGCAAATATACAAATATGAACACTATTTAAAAATCAAGTCTATGAATAATAGGAAAAGAACAGAAGATCCAGATCAAATGCACAGAAAATATTTTCAACAAAATCACAGAAAACTTCCCTAATCTAAAGAAATAAATGTCCATCAAAGTCCAAAAGGCAAACAGAATACCAAATAGACAGAACCAGGAAAGAAACTCCCCACATCATATTAAAACACTAAGTGACAACAAAGAAAGATCAAGTCACACGGAAAGGCATGACCATCAGAATTAACAGCTGATTTTTCAGTAGAGAACAAAAGCCTAAATGGATCGGGCCTAGTGTTTTACAAGTTATGAAAGAGCACAGATAGCAGCCCAGAGTACTATACCCCGAAAAACTATCAGTCATAGTCAAGGAAAAAAGATTTTCCATGACAAAAACAGATTTAAAAAAAACTATGATCACCAAATCAGCTCACAGAGAATACTAAAAGGATGCTTAGATCTGAAACATTTAAAACACTGTTCAAAAAGACAAAAGAAACAAACAATTCCAGAACACTGAATCAAAACATCAGCAATTAACAAACAAGGTTCAATCATGTCAATTCCCCCAACAGACAAAGACTAACAGACTGGATCAGAAAACAGGATCCATATTTTCGATGCCTCCAAAAAAAACACAAACCTCACAACCAATGGCAGACACCACCTTGAAGTAAAAGGGTGAAAAACATATACCTGAGAAAACAGACTTCATATCAAAACTAGTTATACTCATTAAAAGGAAAACAGAAGATGTTCTAATCCGGGATACATATGCACCAAACATAGAAGCACCCAATTTCATAAAAGAAGTTCTCTCAAACTCAGGACCACAGATGGACTCTGACACAGTGATAGCGGGTGGTTTCCATGCCCCCACTTTCACAGTGACGGGTCATCTGGAAAAAATAGAAACTGTAGTTAAATGACATCATAAATCAAACAGACCTAACAGGTACTTACAGGAAATTCTGCCTAAACACTAAAGAACACACGTTCTTCTCAACAGCCCATGGAATGTTCTCTAAAATAGACAACTAGGACACAAAACAAGTTTTAACATGAGAAAGCTGTTTGCTGGAGAGATGATACATGAAGTCGTCCTTCCATATAGGCATGTGTATATCCACACACATGTCTATCTACATACACACACAGGCATGCACGCACACAGACACACCTATCTTACTGATGAGAGATAAATCAAAACTATAATGACATATATGTATGAAACGGCCATAACGTAACTCATGACTCTGTGCTAAGTTTAAAAAAACATGAAAAAAGGAAAAAATGTTATTCTCATACTTTTACAAATTGGTTTTAGAGTTAAGCAGGGCAGTAGAAGATGGGTGAGAAGATCTGCCCAAGTGCCACTCCCTTCTAGGAGTCCCACACAGCCTCCGGGAGCTACAGTTCTCACTGCCCTCCCTAGTATAGATCTTAAGGGATCCTACGAGATATTATGTGCACAAGAAATTTTGTAAAGTTAAGGAAGAAGAGTAACATAAAATAAGAAGCTAACAGAATGATAATACTTGGGACACAGACAACATCAGGTAAAAGGTTTTCCTCACCTTTGCATATTCCATTTATACCAGGATGAAGACAGGACTCAAATCTATAAGTTGTGTCTTGATTCAAGAACAAGCTTTCAAATGTAAAAAAGAAAGCACAGATTAATTACATGTTTCCAAAACAGACTAACATTTTAACCATATTATTTTCTAATATTAGAAAGATGAAACATTGAAAAATATTAGCCATTAAAAAAGGAGGAGGAAATTAAAATTTTTTTTAGGTTAAAATCTGATTGGAGATTCGAAATAATTTTCACTGATTAAAAGTATAATGGATTTTTGACAATTAGGTTTCAATTTTATGTATACTAAAACTTTAGCAATTAAGTCCTAACATCACATTGAGTTTTTTATTCAATTACGCAAATCTAATTAAAACATGCTTTCAACATAATGGTCAAAAAACTGTATATGGCAACATTCTGCCTTCATCAATAGTAGACCCTTTACTCTGGCACAGATCTTGATGAAAAAATATTTTTATGAACTATTTAATGTGACTATTTAAGTTTATGCCTCCTATGCTTTGCTTTCTTGCTCCTGCCTTTCCTCAACTTATTTTATAAACACACAAATACAGTACTAGAATGTCCTTGAGAAACAGAATCAACACTGATCTTTCAGATAATTAGGTTGAAGTAGCCATTTAAAATATATAATTCTAGCACTAGAAAGACTAAAGCAACAAAACCTTGAACTGAAAGCCAGCCTATAGTATACAGAAAAACCTTGTTTTTAAAAGGGGTATGTGTATATAAATGAACCTAAATTACGGTATGAAAAATTATATAGTCTGAGCCCCTAAGAGAAAAAAAATTAAATACAAGTTCAAGGACTTGAAAGACCATACATCAAAATCTAAAATGCACATCAAAAAGAAAGGAAAAGAGACTGGGGGTTGGCAAGATGGCTCAACAAATAAAAGCATTAGCTATGTAACACATAACACTGCTGACCCCGAATTCCATCCCCAGAAATAAAGGCAGAAGGATAGTGTCCAAGAATTGTCCTCTGACCTCCACACATCTGACACAGCACATGCACCCACACATATATTGCGTCTACACATACATGTACAAATATAAATAATTTTAAGAAGAAAATTAGATTGACATAGGAAAAATATTTTTAAAAAACCAGGACAGATCCTAAATGTAGTACATTTACATCTTCAAGACACTAAGAGAAGCCGGGGGTGGAGGGGTGCACACTTATAATCCTAGCACTCAGGGAGGTAGAGACAGGCAGATCTCTGTGAGTTCAAGGCCAGCCTGGTCTACAAAGTGAGTCCAGGTCAGCCAGGGCTACACAGAGAAACCCTGTCTTGAAAAAAACAAACTAACAAACAAACAAAAAAAAAGCAGCTCAGAAGTTCAAACAAGTAAACATAAAATATCATTCCAGACATGCCACAATGGCATGTCTGAGACCATTTGCTGAGAACCAAAGATAAGAAAAAAAAGATGAGAAGGGGAAAATCGTTCACATGTTAAAGAACAATAATTCAAATGGGGCAGGGGGTAATGGAGCCACTGTTAAGAGACAAAACAAAACACCTTTCAAGGTGGTAGACTTCTAGATATTGACTGTAATGGCTATAATGAAACTCCATGCATTTATTAAAATATTCACTAAGCACCAGTAAGAATAAATACTGTGTGTATACATTTTTTAAATGGGAGTGGTGGTGCACATATATAATCCCAGCAGGATTATTGTCAGTTTAAGCCTAGCCTGGGATATATAGTGAGACCCTAAAAGGAGAATGATGAGTGAAGAAGAGATAAAGAGGGAGAAGTAGCAGCAATAATCTGGATATTATTCTTTACAGCCTTGGCTCAGTGCCCTACCACATCTAATCAGTCACCATCTCCTACCAAATGTCCCCTGCAGAGACTTCTCAGATCCGCTCTGCTCCCTCCATTCCAACTACCACTTCTCAAAGTGGTGCCACAGGCAGGCCTTTAATCCCTGCACTCCCCACTGGCAGAGCCAGGTGCATGTGGAGAATTTGAGAACAGCCTGGTTTACAGAGCAAGTTCCAGGACATCCAAGGCTACGCAGGGAAACCCTGTCTTGAAAAACGAAAACAACGAGAAAGGAGCATCAGCATCCTACCAAGGAACACACAGGGTATACGTGGCCTACCAGACCTCACCTGGATCCCTCTTTATCAGTGCACATCTATCCCACAGTTCTGAAAGATTTAACTTACACATACCAAAACACGTAGCTCAGTGCTATGTTCCACCTGCGCAGCTCCACCCATGCACTCCCTTCTCCAAGAATACTACCTTTTCTTCATAGAGCTGACTCCTTGCCACCTTCAAGCTCCTACTCAGAAGCCACCCCTGGCAAACTCTTGTCAACCACCTATATAGTGTGTGGCTAAGAGTTCCACTGGGTTCCCAAGACATATCCCTGGACGCCGAGTATTATAGTGAAGTGTTTTCCAGGCCTAGTTATCTCGAAGGTAATGGCCTTTTTTTTCCCTGTGTCTAACACCGAGACTGTATTCAAATAAGACTGATAAGCTCAAATACTTCTTAAATCTGTTTTTTTTTTCAAGTAATAAAGTTTTATTTAATTGGCATCAGGTATAAGGCCAACCAAGACATAAAACAGCATTCAAGAAGCATTGTGTAGAGGGCAATGAGAGAATGCAGTCTGAATGTCATTAAGGGAATCATTGAACACACTACATAGTTTATTCATACTATACAGTGCAATATAGGCTTTGAAAGGGATGCTGACAAAATGAACCTATTTTTTTTAATATGTTACTTACTACTTTTTGTGTACACTGGTGTTTTGCCCATATGTGTGCCTGTGTGTGGGTGTCAGGTCTCCCGGAAGAGAAATTATAGACCGTTGTTGAGCCCACATGTGGCTGCTGGGAGTTAAAGCCCGGTGCTCTGGATGAGCAGCCACTGAACCATCTCTCCAGGACCAGTCCTTCTTATAACACGTTTCTAGTTTGATACAAATCTGATTCCCCGTTATAGTTCTTAAACGAAATTCTGAGACCCGCCTCCTAGACCAAAGCTTACGTTGGGGTAACGCGGTCCTTGTTCATACCCGAAGTACTTAGCCCCAATATAAGACAAGGACTTTTAAAATGCTATAAACCCATAACCACCTTATTGTGTCAGGCTGGGCGTGGGGCCTGAGGGCGGTTGCTACTTGTGCATTCCTAGCATGGCTGTCCCCCAAAGCTCTAGTCTCTCCCACCAGCCCGTCCTGCTGGCGGCCATTCCCACTCAAAACCAAGGAAAGCCTAGGCCGACAGTGGCTGGGCGCGAGGGCTCAGGCCGCCAAGCCTACGGAGGTCACCTTCTCCAGGGCAGCTCCTCGTCTTCCAGTTCGTTCTCTGTCACTGACCCCTCAATCACTGTTTCATCACTGTCACTGTCTGAGACCTGGGAACCTTTCTCCATCTTCCGCCCTCACTCGAGGGTCTTAATCTCTTCCTCTAGATGCCTTTATCCGGAAGTAGAAGCACGCTTCGTGGGAGGGAGGAAACAGGCTTTTAAAAAAGAAAAGCAACAACGACACGGAAGGCTTCTCTGGGCGGCTGAGGGCGCCAACATCCGCACTCGCGGCGCGGTCGTCGACGCGCGGGCTAACCCGCTCTCGTGCTCGACAGACACCAGAGCGCAGCCGCACGCCACAGCCCAGCGCAGCGCGCAAACGCAGGAGCCCGACAGGCCCAGGCCCCGCCCCCGGCACCCGGGGCCCCGCCCCCGCGCACGAGATCCTGCCCAGGAGCACGAGGCTCCGCCCCTGCCCCCAGGTCCCGCCCCTCGCTCCCCCGTGGCTCCTCCCCGGCTCCCAGGCCTCAGCCGGGCCTCAGCCCGGCCTCCGCAGCATAGCTAAGCAGGATGGCCATGAGCCATCTGCTCTGCTCTGAGATCCTGGTCCAACCAGATTATGGCCAGCTCTCAAGGCTGGTTTGGGCCGTTTTCTAATACTTCTGACTTGATTATCTATATGTCCCAGAGGCCTCGGCTCCAGAATATTCTAAAACCAGGGGATTTTACAGTCTACCAAGTGGCTCCTTACTTCTTTTGTTTGTATATTTGTTTTTCAAGACAAGGTTTCTCTGTGTAACCCTGACTGCCCTGGAAAGCCCTCTGTGAGTTTTAGATCAGCCTGCCTCTGACTCCTAAGTGCTGGGATTAATGATGTGTGGATAATGGCTGCATCCTTTTTTCTTTTTATTCATTTATTTGTTTGTTTGTTTACTTATTTATTATTACAGTTTATTCACTTTGTATCCCAGCTATCGCCCCCTCTCATCCCCTCCCAACCGCACCCTCATCTCCTCTCATGCCCCTCTCCAAGTCCACTGATAGGAGAGGTCCTTCCTACCCTTCCATCTGACCCTAGCCTATCAGGTATCATCAGAACAGGCTGCATTGTCTTCCTCTGTGTCCTATGGTAAGGCTGCCCCCACCTCAGGGGAAGGTGATCTAAGAGCCAGCCACTGAGTTCATGTCAGAGACAGCCCCTGTTCCCATTACTAGGGAACCCACTTGGACACTAAACTGCCATGGGCTACATCTGTGCAGGGGTTCTAGGTTAGCTCCCTGAATGGTCTTTGGATGGAGTATCAGTCTCAGAAAAGACCTCTTTGACTAGACTTTTTGGTTCTGTTGCTCTCCTTGTAGAGCTCCTGACCCCTAGGGTCTTTATATCTCTCCCTTCTTTCATAAGATTCCTTGCACTCTGCCCAAAATTTGGCTATGAGTCTCAGCATCTGCTTTGATGCCTTGCTGGGGAGAATCTTTCAGAGGCCCTCTGTGGTAGGTTCCTGTCCTGTTTCCTGTTGACTGTCATCAGAACAAAATGACAGCCTACAGATTGGAAAAGGATCTTCACCAATCCTATATCTGATAGAGGGCTAATATCCAGAACTCAAGAAGTTAAACATCAACAAATCAAGTAATCCAATTAAAAAATGGGGTCCAGAGCAAAACAGAGAATTCTCTGTAGAGGAATACAGAATGGCAGAGAAACGCTTAAAGAAATGCTCAATGTCCCTAGTCATCGGGGAAACACAAATCAAAATGACCCTGAGATTTCACCTTACACCCATCAGAATAGCTAAGATCAAAAACTCAAGTGACAATACATGCTGGAGAGAATGTGGAGAAAGGGGAACCCTACTCCATTGCTGGTGGGAATGTAAACTTGTACAACCATTGTGGAAATCAATCTGGTGCTTTCTCAGACAATTAGGAATAGTGCTTCCTCAAGATCTAGCTATACCACTCCTAGGCATATATCCAAAATATGCTCAAGTACACAATAAGGACATTTGCTCAACCATGTTTGTAGCAGCTTTATTCATAATAGCCAGAATCTGGAAACAACCCAGATGTCCCTCAACTGAGGAATGAATACAGAAATTGTGGCACATTTACACAGTGAAATACTACTCAACAATTAAAAAACAAGGAAATGATGAAATTTGCAGGCAAATGGTGCAATCTAGAAAAGATCATCCTGAGTGAGTTATCCCAGAAGCAGAAAGACACACATGGCATATAATCGCTTATAAGTGGATACTAGACATACAATAGAGGATAAACATACTAAAATCTGTACACCTAAAGAAGCTGAGCAGGAAAGAGGACCCTGAGTAAGATGATCAATCCTCACTTAGAAAGGCAAACAGGACGGACATCAGAAGGGGGAGAACAGGGTCCTTACTTCTTAATCCCTTTGATACTACCTCCCTAAGTGTCCCCTAAAAGAAATATTTTTCAAGGTTTTCTGATCTCCTAATCCAATAAACATTTTTTTCTCACTCTATAAATTACTCTAAATACAGATTGTATAGGAAAAGAAGTATATAACTATTAGGACCAATTAAGACAATGATGAGGCATACAGCAGATTTTATATGAAAGAGGTTTATTAGATGGAGAGATGAAGAGAGAGAGAGAAGAGAGAGGGAGACATGATGGGGGAAGAACAGGGTTCCCCCTCCCAACAAAGAAAGGGAAGAGGGCAAGAAGCCACCTGGCCTGTGACACGATGACATCATAGGTTGCTAGGCAACTCAGAAACAGGTGCCAAAATACTAACAATAACTGCTTTTTCCTTTTATCAAATGTTATAATAGTGGTGGCTAACAACACCCAAAATTGATTATTTTCTCAATGAAGTTTTAGGATTTTTTAAAACAGTAATTCAATGATTTTTAAAAATTGTTGCATGTTCCTCTGTCTCTGTGCATGGGGGGGCAAACTTGTGGAGAGGTAGGTTGGTGTGGGGGTGGGTAGGTGGGCGTGGTGTTCAAAGAACAACTGCTTGCAGGAACTGGTTCTCTCCTTCCCCTGTGTGGGACCCAGGGATCGGACCTCGGTGGTCAAGCTTGGCAAGCGCTCTGCCGTCACATCCACCCTCTGAGGTGCCTTTTCACATTTCAGCGATTCAAACTACCTGAAAGTTTTTTATTGTAATTCAAACTACCTGAAAGTTTTTGTTGTTCTGGAGACTGAATTGCAGGACTGGCGCACACTAGACAAGAGTCTGCCACTCAGCCCTGTCAAGGACTCACAGAGTTGCCTGGGCTGACCTCCACGTACTCTGTAGTCCAGGCTGGCTTGAATTTGACATCCTCCTGCGTCAGTTTTCTGAGTAGTTGGGATTACAAGCCCACACCACCAGGCCCAGCTTTATTTGAAGGTTTTAAATTCAAACTACAGTTATACAACACATGAGGCTATTCCACCCGATGATTGCCTGGCCATGTCCAAAGTCTCAGTTTGTGTAAGCACAATCACTGTGTAAGCACAACCACGTAACTGCTCAAGACACATATCCCTGTGAGTGTCTACATGCTGTGTGAGAGCTTAAAGAGTCAGACAAGACTGAGTTTCTTCCTATCACTGGAATTTTTACTAGTATGTGTGTGTGTGCTAATTTTTTGTCAGTAAGAGGGTGGAACTAGAGTTTTCTAATGCCCCAGTTCCTGCATTTTTTTTTTAATTCCCTGTAGTGGGCTCATCATTATTGCCTTTTGTCTTTATTTCTAAATCATATTTAAGCCACTGTTGTTTCACTGATAAAAACCATCAGGTTGGTTTTAAGTTTACAGAAACATTCTTCATAAGAATTAAGAGCAAGAAGACCTCCATTCTCTTCTTTTCTAATATGTTCTGTGTTAAAATGATAGGTAAATTCCTATCTGTTCTCCTGCTCATCAACACTTTTGATCACTCAGCTCTACTTTCACCACTGGGCAGGAGAAAATGCATTCCCAACAGAGACTGATCAGTTGTTCTAGAGGCCGTAAGCAGCAGCTCACTTTCCGCTGACAGCAGCCTTTGTTCCGGGCACTAATAAGTTAAGTAGAGAAAATCTGGGGTGTCTGAGGTTAACTCTCATGCTTAATTCTTTTACTTTGTTGTTTGTTTTTTGTTATGAGACAGGGTTTCTCTGTTTAGTCTTGACTGTCCGGTAATCACTTTGTGGACCAGGCTGGACTCAGACTCACAGACATCTGCCTGCCTCTGTCTCCCCAGGAGGCTGGGATTACAGGTGTGTACCACCACACCCAACTCTTTTAATGAGAGTTAGCAATTATGAAGCACAAAGGAGAAACGGCAGAGACAAACCTCAAGAACACCAGTCATATTTTAAAGAAGAAAGGGTTTAAAGAAGGTCAGGGTTTCAGTGCAAGACAGAAAATAATGGACAGGGTACCTGTGCAGGAAACGGTGCTGCCTTGCAGTTAAAACTGCTTTAGAGAGGGTGAGCTAGGTCACAGAACTGACCCCTCCAGGGAAACCCAAGCATTTCAGAGGCGATGGGACCAGATACTCAAAGAATAACTGAAAAGAAGGGTAACTCGATTTTTTTTTTGGTAGTTTGAATTAAATTTTTTTTCAACTCTATTGAAAATACATAGAATCTGGTATTCACAACAATAATTGACCACTCTTGGAAGTGGCTGAACACTGTTTATTATAAAATTAATAAAGAAACAAATGAAGCATTTATCCCACCTTTCCTATCAAATCTTTATTTTAGGATAACCACAGTTGATAAAAGAAAAGTATTCCATTTTATAGAAATATGTAATATATTTTCTCTTTTTGAGAAAGGATCTTGTTATGTGAAAAAATGAAATTTGATGATTCACTCTCAAAGGTATCGTGGCCCAGTTTGAGTCCAGCTACCCACGAACAGAAAACCCTATTCTTGTTGGTGCTGATATCCCTCCCCACATCTGGCTCCTTGCCACCTGCACTCATGGGCACATCAACACACACACACACACACACACACACACACACACACACACACACACACAGTTGATAATAATAAATCTCTTTTTAAAGGTGGAGAAAAATAAATCAGAAAATCAGGGCCATCCCTGGCTACATAGAAATTTTACAGCCAGCCAGGATCACATAAGACCCTG